TTTACTCTCCAGTAAAATATCAAATTACAGCCATCTTCAATATCTTAGAGAAGTTATTAGGAATTTCCATTTCCAAGTGACAACGTAGCAACCTCACTCAGTGATGAAGATGGCCTTTTGTAGCCAAATTAGAATCACCGGGAAGCCTGCAGAAGATTCATTGCTTTATGCAACTACCTGAATAGTCATAAATCCTTTCTCCAATTGGACTTTCCATGCAAACAGCAGCTTCTTTGTCAACATTTGTGCTTCTTTTTTAAAAAAACCTCTGGCCTCTCTTCCAATTAAAGGAATTCCCGCCATGCAACCAATTCATCCATCTGTTCAACTTCCTTGGAACTTGTTGCAACAAACGTAATCAAGTCCGTTATAAACAAAAACTTATCAGTTGCGCTTTCCATGTCATTTCATGCTTTGTTAGCTTTGCCCTGGTTTTTATTTTCCGTCGCTTTTGTATTTTTGTGTGTTTGTTTTGTTTAGGCAGCCTGAACCCAGCCTCTCTTTGGTTACGCTGCCTGCAATTTGGCAGTTCGAATCTCACTAGGGTCAAGGTTGATTCAGCCTTCCATTCTTCCGAGGTGGGTAAAATGAGGACCCAGATTGTTGGGGACAATAGTCTGACTCTGTAAACCACTTAGAGAGGGCTGCAAAAGCACCATGAAGCTGTATATAAGTCTAAGGGCTATTGCAGTCTAACTCTGCCCACTGCTAGGAGTTCGATCTTGACCGGCTCAAGGTCGACTCATCCTTCTGTCCTTCCGAGGTGGGTAAAATGAGGACCCAGATTGTTGGAGGCAATAGTCTGACAGTAAACCACTTAGAGAGGGTTGCAAAAGCACTTTGAAGCTGTATATAAGTCTAAAGGTTATTGCAGTCTAACTCTGCCCACTGCTAGGAGTTCGATCCTGACCGGCTCAAGGTTGACTTATCCTTCCATCCTTCTGAGGTGGATACAATGAGGACCCAGCTTGTTGGGTGCAATAGGCTGACTCTGTACACCGCTTAGAGAGGGCTGTAAAGTACAGTGAAGCAGTATATAAGTCTAAATGCTATTGCTACTGCTAATGTGATACTTAAGCTAAGTTGTGTGAACAGAGCCATTCTGTCCTAGCTACTTGAGGACTTACCTTCTCCGCATGTTTGTAAGCAAATTAATGATACTTCTGACATACACAAGAGGAATGTGTAATAAAGAAACCAATTTGCATGATTATCTTGATTTGATTGCCCGTAATGTATCAAGGATCAACTTCAGGAAGCAGTCAATCATGTATATATTGGTTCTGAGGAGCATCAGAGAAAAGCCCAGAAATTGATGTAGGGTTTCCTGACTAAGCAGGGGGTTGGGCTAGAAGACCTCGAAGGTCCCTTTCAACTCTGTTATTCTATTCTATCCTAAGTGTAAGAACATTCATATGAGATGTGATATTTTTCAGAAGCCCTGCCTGCCCCCTCCCCCGCAATTTGTTGAACCTCAGCAATCTCTAGCCATTACTGGGCCAACAAGAATTCTAGCAAGGAGTATTACAGGAATTAATGCAATACACAAAACCAGGGCACTAGAATCAAGCAAATTGATTATTGGAATGTTTCGCTCTTTAGGATAAACAAAAATGAGAGTCAGCCATTATTTAACTTGACGGATTCAGTGACATACACCTATCCATTTAGGGGTTAGGGGTTTTTTTTTGGGGGGGGGGAAGAATGGGGCTGGAGAATTCTGGGAGTTGAAGTCTACAAGTCTTAAAGTTGCCAAAGTTGGGGATCCCTATTGTAGGTCATCTAGTCCAACACCCCCGCCCAAGCAGGAGACCTTACCCCTTTTTGACAGATGTCAATCGCAAAAATTAAAAAAAACATTCAAAGGTGCCAGATTATTGTTAATTTTAATCGAATTTCTTTTAAAAATATTATTGTTAATCTAAATTGGGTTTATTTTGGGGGCTATTCTATTTTTTTTTAACTTTTGTAATATGTGGTGTTTTTTTTTAATGAGTCCTTGGGAGAAGGGCGGCATATAATCCAATAAACCAAACCTTTAAAAGCCACCGGCGGTGTTGAATTACTCTGGGTCGTGACTGTGAGTGGCTTCTGCTGAATGGCACAGCAGGTGGAAATTCAACAATGATCCTTTTTTGTCCCCGAGGCTGTATAGGGAGAAAGTCTCAAGCGCTTAAATCAGAGCTGTCCAAATTTAGGAATTTTTAAGACTTGTGGACTTCAACTCCCAGCATTCTCCAGCCAGAATTCTGGGAGTTGAAGTCCACAAGTCTTAAAGTTCCCAAGTTTGGATACTCCTGGCTTAAATCATACCTTGTTCCTCGTTTTTGCCCTCTCCTTAACCCGAAAGCCTGCTCGCGGCTCCCCGACACGCTCTCTTTCCATCCCATGCCAATCCAAGGCATACCTACGCCTTGTTTGCTAACTCGCGGGGAATTCCCGCTTGCCTTCCAGATAGGCGCTTGGTGCTTGAGAAGCCGTAGCCTTAACCTTAACTCTTACCCCGAGTCCACCCAGAAGATTATTTCTGGGTAAACAGAATCCTGTTGCTGGAAGGCAAGAAGGGCAGCGCGGAGCACCTGGGCGAAGTGCAATGAAGCAAAAGGGAGGAAAGCCCCTTTTTACCCCTAAATTTATCTATCTAGGCAAGTCAGACTGTCTCCCTCCGAGCCCCGCCCCCTCCAATCCTAGCCCCTCCCTAAGACTGCGAAGGGACCGTGACTCCTGCATCCCTCCAAGCGGGCGCCTCCATCGATCCCGGCGCTGTCCGTCCGGAGGGGGGATAAAAATGAGATTTCAGGGCGCCTCGAGCCGCCAAAGGACCCCAGGCAAGGAAAAACGGTGATTTTCCCCGAAGACCCGGGGCGAAGCCCCGTTGTGACTTCTCCTCCCATTACTTCCAGAGGTAAGCGCCCCCGCTAGAGGATGCTTTGTCGACACGTGTTAAAAGGCTCAGACATGCTGGACTGGGGAGGGAGGTAGGGAACTTAGGACTCAGCTCTCGAAAAAAAACCCCACGATTGAGATTGAGATTGGGCTGCCTTGTTTATGGATTCATTATTCGGAGGCTGTCTCGATTTAGGAGGCTTTCAACCAGTGGTTCCCACAGTGGGGGCAATTTGAACCTTGTTTAAACCAGGTTAATGGCCTTTTCGTCTTCCACTGCGTGAGTAGAGTTTACTTTTTGAGTAAAGTAAGAATTATATGTCGGGGGGGGGGGTTTGGGCATCAGGATTTTAGAGATGCTTAGGTGGGGCATAGCCCCCCCCCCAAAAAAAAGGTTGAACCAATCTACCAGCGAGAGGCATTGGATTTGTTGATGTGTGTATCCATTCACTGCTTTAAAATAATCTTGCAAGAATTTCGGGGGTGGTTACAAGGCAAAGAAATCATCCTTACAACAGCCCTGCCAGGTAGGATGAGGCTGAGGCAAAGAGAAGGAAAGAGAAGAAGGGAGAAGAGGTTAAAGAGAGAAGGATACCAAGCGTTGGAGATTAGAGGAGAGATTTGAAGTGACAGTTCTCAGCTGTGCAAACTGGATCCCTATTGAAGAGATTCCTGTTGGGATTCACAATGAGTTTTGGAAGATGTTTGAGTCTGGGCTGGATCACCCTAAAATATTGCTTCTTATTGCCATCAACATTTTGTGTTGAAAATGTTCCTCCTTATTAAGGAGTGTCATCAGACCACTGATCTGGGATATTTCTGATATAATTTTCCCATTGTGGCTTTCCCTTTTTGTCAGATTCCACAATCTCTGTCCCCCCACCACCACTGTAATGCAACTCACACTATCTCCCCATATTCTTCAACCTGGAGGGCAGGGAATGTCTTCTGAATGCACATAATGGACATGCCCTGAAGAAGGAACTTGTAGATAAATATTAAACAGTGAAGTTTTTTTCCCCATAATTCTTGGGTGGAGCTATCTTACTGTAGAAGGAACTGCCTATCTTTGGAATTTATGCTGTTGACCTTGTCAAACACCATTGAAAGAGTTCAGATTCATATGAATCATATCTTGAATTCATTTTGTTTTGTTCCTACCTGAAACTAAGACACAGCCATGGCTGTTTATCATTTTTCACATTCTATATCCAGGTACTTCTTCCAATCTAGCAGTTCAAAAGCATGTAAAAATGCAAGTAGAAAAATAGGGACCACCTTGGTGGGAAGGTAACAGTGTTCTGTGTGCTTTTGGCATTTAGTCATGCCGGCCACATGACCTCAGAGACATCTTTGGACAGTGCTGGCTCTTCGACTTTGAAACAAGAGATGTGCACCTAGAGTCAGGAACGACTAGCACATATGTGCGAGGGGAACCTTTATCTTTTATATCCAAGAAACAGAATAAGTACATGAACATTCTCAGTATAGCAATAGCAATAGCAGTTAGACTTATATACCACTTCATAAAGCTTTCAGCCCTCTCTAAGCGGTTTACAGAGTGAGCATATCACCCCCACAGTCTGGGTCCTCATT